CCCCCCCCCTTCTCATTGGAAAATACATGATGAGATGTATTTTATTTTATTTTATTTTATGATCAGCCCAGTGAAACAAGACACTTCAAGCTGTGGCACAATGATACGTGGCCTGAAGGGCAAATACATTTCAAAGCTGGGCTTTAAAAATTGGATTTTGACTGCTAATTAATATAGCATATTACAGAATAGAGAACTCTAATTATATTCTACTGTAAGATCTCTGTGGCAAGGACTGTTTCAGACATACCTCTGAACAGTATTTACCATACCAGGACACAGCTTCTGCTGCTAGTGGGAGAACATTTTAAAATTACAAGCCTTAAAACTCCTAAAAATCACTAGATCTGTAAGAATTTCACCTTGTGACATATTACATGTATCTGAAAATTCCCGATTATTTGTGACCTGAAGTGATTCAAGTCTTACAGTAATGGAGCCTGCTACAATGAGTTCCACATTTTCTGTGCCCATGTAGCCCTTCTCACAAAAGGAAAAGAAATGACAGTGTGCTGGCACAGCAGCCAAGCACTGTCCCAAAACAGAAACTGAGGTGGCCTCCCAGGCTCTGTAAAGCACAGGAATTTGGGTGCCTGTGGACCAGGACACCCTGCACATCTTTCCCTTCTGGCAGAGGTATTCCAGGGGCGTACAGACAAATGTGTGTGTGCAGGGCACTGTCTGCGAGCCTGTGCACGTTCACCTGAGCACGTGTGTGCATGCAGGACCCCACACCCATCCCACCCCACACTTGGCCTGCTGCAGAACGGACTCCATGGACAAGAGGCTGGTCCTGCTCGTGCTGGCTGGGGCTCCCCCTCCCGCAGCTCCAGGTCCATCCCAGCAGGGACCCCTCCCTGCAGGACGTGCTCGGGGGCCAAGGGGCTGCAGCCCCCTCTGCACACCCCAGCTGCTCACAGCAGCCCCTTGCAGGGGAACATCATCAACCCTGGTGTGTTTTTCTTAGATAATTCTAGGGATTTATCAACATTTCCTTGATAAGAAAGAGATGATTTTCTTAAAAACAAAACACCTGCTGTTTAATGGAATACCTGTCAATATCTTTTTAAGACAGCTTAAAAGAGATCCATAACTCCCACAGGGAAATCAGTCGATGGAATTGTTGACAGAAGTTCAATTTGAGACATTTTCTCAAGGCAAAAAA